TTCGAACCATTCTCTGTAAACCGTAGAGATGGTTGTGCGGGAAAATCCCAGTAGATCAGCAGTTTTTTAAATACTCAGACCAGCCCATCTGGCACCAAGAACTATGTCACATTCAGAGTCACTTAAATCCCTTTTCTTCCCATTCTGATGCTCAGTTTGAACTTCAGCAAGTCATCTTCACCACGTCTAGATGCCTAAATGCATTGAGTTGCTGCCATGTGATTGGCTGATTAGCAATTTGTGTTACCAAGCAATTGAACAGGTGTACCTAATAAAGTGGCCGGTGAGTGTATATATTTTGTAACACTACAAAAGTTTATGTATATCTGTTGATATATTTATGTATTACAACTGTTACCTTTCATGTTATTATGTAAATAATTTTTCAATAAAAAAGTTTGTAAATAAAAAAAGAATGCTGGGTTCATAGGTAGCCAATCAGCAAGCTCCCACACAGTCACATAAAGGAAGGAGATGGAGTCATGTGTTCCCTGTACCTGGCCTCTTGCACACTGCAGCCTGGAAAAGCTCAGTAAAGCATATATTTTTTTTTTTTCTTACAGAGGTAAAATGTAGTCCATTATTTACAACATGCCTTTGCACACAGGCACATAAACAAGCCCATTCCTCAGTAAAACAGGAAAATTTATTATTTTTGGTCAATAATTTACGCTTAATTTGCACACAAATATGTGCATTGGAGAATAAATATTAATAAATATATTGTGCACACAAATACACATAAATACATGCATAAATACACACAAAACAAACGCTTGAAATTACATCCAAAAAAGCAGGTGCTTAAACATCAGTTGGCAAGAGGCCTAAAACTTGCAATTTTGATGTGCAATTTTTGCTCCAAATAACCTCTTTTTCTGTTTTTCATTACCTGCTCAGTTTGACTTGCCCAGGTTTACGTTAATGTATTCTGCGAATTCGTCATAGTATGACTAAGTGCCTTCTGTTGAGAAGCTGCTCGCCTGACGCGTGTTCCCAAATCTAAGCCCATTTATTTTTCTGCCTGAAATTATGTCAGCTCATTGACTGCCATATCAAAAACTTCATGCTCCTTTTAGAAGTTTATTTATGACTTTGACCTGTCAGTGGATGGCATCCAAATTTAGATTGCTTTTTGTACAGCTTGACATGGGCAGAAATAACATAAACCAGATTTGCTTGAACTCTTACTATATATGTTTTGACATGAATGCAAAAATAATTCTTCCTTTTAGCTCTTCATCTATTTCAAGTATTTTCTGGTCACTTTAGCTTTGACAACTGTCTACATTTTTGTAAAAAAATAAACTTTTGTAGTGAGCCCTGGTTCACACTGATGCGGTGTGGAATTTGCAGCGTTTTCTGTGCGAATTCCGCACTGCGTCAGAATTGCACCCCGTTCATGCGAACCACTGTGGATGTGTATGTTAACACCCCAAAAGCAGTTCACAAAACGCGGTGCGATGTACAGAATTGGATCACATAGGTGTGAATACCCATGCGATCCGATTCTTTTAAGTGTGGGTGGGCTACAATTAGAGCCACACAAAATGTATGGCCCCAATCGCATCGCACATAAATCATATGTGATTTGCACAGGAATGCAGTGCGGTTCCTGTGCAAATCACATGCTATATACCGCACCGCATATATGTGAACCTAGGCTAAATGTATGCCTGGTAAATATATTTACCATTTTTCTCAGCTTGCTTCTTTGACGGTGCGGAAGCATTCACACTGTTTCTATAGTGGATGCACAAATGGAATTTCTTAAAGAGAAATTCCTAAAACAAGTGAGGCAGAGTTTGACCACCTGCTATGATCTTACTGCTGTAGCCCCAATAAAGATGTGTTCTCCTTCCTCCGGTTATCCCATGATATCAGCATTATGGAATCACCACTGTCCCGGGATTATATAGAAGAGGGCACTCCAGAGAGGTTGGACTGGAAAAATCTTGGCTGTCATGTCAGTAGCCCCATAAAGGCTATAGACAGCAGAAAAGAATTAGAATTGTAGAGGGACAATGAAGTGTGATGTGGGAATGTGAAATGTGCCTGGATTTGACTACAATTTTTGAATATCTCCCTTATTCTTCTCTGACTCCCAGTGCCATATTAAACCCGAACTCCAGACCAGTGTTAATTTAGATGTCAAATTTCGATTTAGTTTTAGTCATAGTCTTTTGACTAAAATGCTATTTTAGTTTGTCGTATTTTAGTCATCTGAATTGTTTTAGTCGTATTTTAGTCGACTAAAATCTTCAGTACATCTTAGTTGACTAATATCTCCAGTATATTTTAGTTGACTAAAATCTAATGAGTTTAGTTAAATTGTGATGCATTATTTAAGCATTTCTCTAGAATTTCCAAGCTCATTATATACTTCTGGAGTAAAAAAAAATCTAATTACATGTTAATATTTATGGTATTAAGGTTTGAACAAACTACACAGACACCAATTTATATAACATCTTTAAAAGTAAAATGTTCCTCCCTCACATTTTCATTCCATTTTCGTTCTTTGAGGAAGATTGGAATTGATTTTCGTAATAGTTTTTTTGTCAGTTGTCAAAAATTCTGAGTAATTTTCATTTTGTTTTAGTCACTGAAAACATGCCGCTGATGAAAATGATGATGAAAATATTTTCGACAATGAAATTAACACTGCTGTAGACAGTGTAATATATAGTTGGAATCCGCATATACAGTGGATATAGAAAGTCTACAGGTTTCTGTTATGTAAAAAAAATAAGACAAAGATAAATCATTTCAGAACTTTTTCCACCTTTAATGTAACCTATAAACTGTACAACTCAGTTGAACAACAAACTGAAATCTTTTAGGTGGAGGGAAGTAAAAATAAAAAAAAACTAAATATGGTTGCATAAGTGTGCACACCCTTAAACTAATACTTTGTTGAATCACCTTTTGATTTTATTCCAGCACTCAGTGATTTTGGGTATGAGTCTGTCAGCATGGCACATTTTGACTTGGCAATATTTGCCCACTCTTCCTTGCAAAAACACTCCAAATCTGTCAGATTTGTCATCTCCTGTGCACAGCCCTCTTCAGATCACCCCACAGATTTTAGATCGGATTCAGGTCTGGGCTCTCACTGGACCATTACAAAACTTTCATCTTCTTCTGGTGAAGCCAATCCTTTGTTGATTTGGATGTATGCTTTGGGTCGTTGTCATGTTGAAAGATGAAGTTCCTCTTCATGTTCCACTTTCTAGCAGAAGCCTGAAGGTTTTGGGCCAATATTGACTGGTATTTGGAACTGTTCATAGTTCCCTCTACCTTGACTAAGGCCCCAGTTCCAGCTGAAGAAAAACAGCCTCAAAGTATGATGCTGCCACCACCATGCTTCACTGTGGGTATGGTGTTCTTTTGGCGATGTGCAGTATTGTTTTTGCGCCAAACATATCTTTTGGAATTATGTACAAAAAGTTCAACCTTGGTTTCATCAGACCATAAACCATTTTCATACATGCTTTTGGGAGACTTCAGATGTGTTTTTGCAAAATTTAGCCGGGCTTGGATGTTTTTCTTCGTAAGAAAAGACTTCCGTCTTGCCACTCTACCCCATAGTCCAGACATATGAAGAATACGGGAGATTGTTTGTCACATGTACCACACAGCCAGTACTTGCCAGATATTCCTGTAGCTCCTTTATTGTTGCTGTAGGCTTCTTGGAAGCTTCCCTAACCAGTTTTCTTCTCGTCTTTTTATCATTTTTGGAGGGGCATTCAGTTCTTGGTAATGTCACTGTTGCACCATATTTTCTCCACTTGATGATGGCTGTCTTCACTGTGTTCCATGGTATATCTAATGCCTAGGAAATTCTTTTGTACCCTTCTCCTGCCTGATACCTTTTAACAATGAGATCCCTCTGATGCTTTGGAAGCTTTCTGCGGACCATGGCTTTTGCTGTAGGATGCGACTAAGAAAATATCAGAAAGACCTACAAGAACAGCTGAACTTTATTTGGGATTAATCAGAAGCACTTTAAATGATGACAGGTGTGTACTCACTCCTATTTAACATGATTTTGAATGTGATTGCTTAATTCTGAATACAGCTACATCCCCAGTTATAAGAGGGTATGCACACTTATGCAACCACAATATTTTAGTTTTTTATGTCCCCCCCTAAAAGATTTCAGTTTGTTTTTCAATTGAGTTGTACAGTTTATAGGTCACATTAAGGTTGGACAAAGTTCTGAAATGATTTATCTTTGTCTCATTTTTTTACATCACAGAAACCTGACATTTTAACAGAGGGTGTGCAGACTTTTTATATCCACTGTATAATAAGAATTTGTTGAATTTGTGATTCCTTCAGATAGCACATCCAGGAGGGTGATACCGCTTTCTCTGTTAGAGCTGAGGAATACAGTGGTGTCACCTCTATTTCCAAAGCCTCCAGATCGGAGCAATACACAGCTACATACTGTACATTATTATATCTATCTGGGGTGCAGATTTAATGTTATTTCCTAAAACATATATGTAGATAAAGTTCTTGCATCAACCCAGAGCTCTCCTATAAGTCTTATTCAGGTAAGGTCATCTAAAAAGAAGGAATCAACTTTACATATCGTTACAACATGAAACACACAAAGCAGATCTTTTATTGGTTCACTGTGGAGAAATAACAAGCCACACAACCACGGTCATCATTATTACAAAGCTTTAGCGGAGAATACTGAGCCTTAACTCCTTACTGTGACGTGCTTAGCCCCGGGCTTAATTTTGAAGGCCTATTGCTTCAAGTTAGCATTTTTTTTTTATTCCTGGTTGATACTGGGATACATATTCTGGGGGGAAGGATGACCACAGTGATCCTAAGTTTTTTGGTTGTTTGCCACACTCTTATATGAGTTCCATTGCCATTCTCTTGGAACACTACTATGAAAACTCATCTTCCTATATTTTTGTGATTATTTTGATATGCAGGTACATATAATTACCTCTCTTTTTTTTTTTTTTACTACTTAGGTAAACTATGGACCAGAAGTATGAAAGTTGCCTATAATATACTGCATAAGCTGGGAACAAAACAAGAGCCAATGGTCAGGCCTGGAGACAGGGTAAGTTATTGACTGTTTTTGCCTGTTGAAGGAAAAGTGTAACCATGGTGATTTAAGCTTATGAGTAATGTATTTGCATTAATGAGGTTCTATACCCAGATGTTAAATTAAATGCTTATAGTTGTTGGATGGATAAATATATAGTTATGGAAATGTTCAATTTAACTGTTTTTGATAAAACACTGCTTTAGACTGCCTTCTCTGCTGGTTTAGAAGACTAGGTCTTTGGTCACATGACCTGTTGAAAGAGGAAATAAAGACTTGCCCCAAGGTATGCAGACTATGGATTAGGGTCTATGCCCTTCTCCGCACTATGCTACACATAGATATTAAGCTTAACCTATACGAGGCACTATTATTGAAACCACTAGTAGGCCTACTCCGTCCTGAGCGGCAGTTAGCATTGCATCTATTTATGGCAACCAAATTGCCGATCGCAAGAGCTTGGAAAACCCCTCTTTTTAGCTTTGAAGCCATTAAGCATCGGATGAATTTTATTATGGTTAACTAGAAACTAACGGCTTTGCTGTTAGACACCCACACTAGGTTTCTGCAGATCTGGCATCCCTGGATTGATGTGGCTCAACCGTCTAGATTTGACCAGACCCTCCTGTCGATATAAGACTCTCATGGCGAGACCCCCCTGAAGCCCTTTCTTGTCTTTACTATTCTTGTTTCTCCTTTCTCCGCTTTTCTCTTTTCTTTTCTTTCCTTTTCTTTCTTCTGTTTCTGTCAGTTTTTATGTTACATGCGCTGATTGTGATACACCTAGAGAAACGTGCCTGTCGTGTTTTATACACCTGTTGGACTTTCTCCTTGATGCAGAGTTCCGATGTGCGTCCAGTGAGACTCCATGCTCAGCTTTTCCTATTATCTGTATGCAACTTTGGTGACTCTCCTTGGCCTTTGCCCACTAGCTCATTGGTCACTACTTGTTTGCTGTTAATGCAATTTATAGGATGTCATTCCATCCTAATCCTTTTATAGATTGTGTTTTTGTACTCCGTTTCTCTCCATGTTAATACTTCAGTGCATTTGTTATGTCCTCCATCATCAGAATTGTACACCTTATTTTTTTTTGGTGTCTATGAGCTTGTCTCTGACTGTTTCTGTGTTGTTGTGCTGCCTATAATAAAATTCATTATGAACGAAAAAGAGGAAATAAAATCTGTACTCTGAACACCCCTTTTAACAAATCCCACATGACCAAATGCCTTGGCTTTCATCTATTAAAAAGTGAAATACAATTTTGACAAATATTAAATTGCAGAGCCAGGTAAATATATAGTATTTTAAAAATTCCTTTTAGTCCAGTCAAAAATGATCTGAAACTCATCACATAACCCCTTGCAAAGCAGAGCTTGTAGCATAAGCATTATGAGACCGTTATGCTCTTTTGCAGCACAGTGGCTAAGTGGTTAGCACATCCGCCTGGCAGTAATAGGGTCGCCAGTTCGAATCCCAACCACGGCACCACCTGCCTGGAGTTTGCATGTTCTCCCTGTGCCTGCATGGGTTTCCCCGGGAACTCCGGTTTCCTCCCACACTCCAAAGACATGCTGGTAAGTTAATTGGCTCCTTTCTAAATTGGCCCTAGTATGTGTATGTATGAATGTGAGTTAGGGACCTTAGATTGTACACCTCTTGAGGGTTAGGGACTGATGTGAATATACAATATATATGTAAAGCGCTGCGTAAATTGACGGCGCTATATAAGTACCTGAAATAAATAATAAATATTGCATTGTGCATTGGTTTAGTGTACTGGAGGCAGGAGGGAGAGTGGTTTAAGATTGTTTACAAGATAAGGAGTCACTATAAGGCAGTAAAAACGGAAATGACAAATATTCCAATGAACAGGCTGGAAGTGGTAGGTGAGAAAGGAAGCTGCATAGTTGCACATTCAAATGGTTGACATCCTTGGATTGCATGGTATGGCAGGGATGTTTAAATCACAAGCGAGCCTACACAGAATAAATATATTGTTTTTTTTTGTATATACATTAGTCCTTGGAGTTCTTGAACAGTGGTCATTATCATTAAAAGAGCATTTTCATTTTATTAAAGATCCCCTGCTTAAAGTTTAAATTCACACTAGACATTTTTTAAGAAGAATCGAAATTGCTGCCAAATTTTTATTGCTTTTAATTTCCCCATTGTGGATCATTCACTTCATGTAAAAACTACAGAAAAAATGTTTTTGAGTAGAGTTGCACTTTAACTGAATTCTTTAACTTTCATTGAAAAGAAGATAGAAGAAGTAAAAATAAAGACATAACACCAAAGTGTCTGCATCCCTCTTGTTCTGTGCTTGATACAAAATGTTACTGTACTCTAATGATGTACGGTAATTATATGTTCAACACATGTTTATTTCGACTATTTGTTAGAGTATTTTAACTGTCTTCGAATTGCTCAAAGGGTATTTTAATTTTCAATGAAAGATCTGCTTTAAATGTTTTACAACTTTCATTGATGATAGAAAAAAAATCCTCCAAAGTATATAAAAATACAGAGATGACACAGAGGTCTCTCTAGCTCACTTGCTCCACGTTTGCTGCAAAATGTCACTGCACTATAAAGGCATAATTATGTTCCAACACATAGTAATTTCACAGCTCTGTTCACTAAAAGGGCAGGATTTAGCAAGGACTCGTGTCACAGATGGAACTCGTACATTCAGCTAGCATTTTAAACATTGCTCAGTCCCACTGGTCTAAATCTGCTGTAACCATTTAACTGTATTCCCACCCAATGTGGGTGTTAGACCAACTAAACCTTTAATTTCCTCCTGGTAAAACCATTCTAAAGACAGGATTTTAATTATTTCTGTGCAATTGCTTATAATTTTAGATTTGCAAGGAAAGCTTTGTGTGTGTGTATATACACAGTATATTGTGTGTGGGTGTGTGTATGTATGTATATGTATATATATGTATATATATATATATTATGTGTGGGGAGGGGAGACATTTTTGCATTTAACCATTTAACAGGCACTGAGGGCCAATGCTATTTGATCCTTACAGAAAAGATATGTACAAAAAGTTTTTGTGCTGGTTTGTTTATTATGTTTCATTTTCTTTGATTTTGATCACTTTGAGCAGCACAAATCAAGCAGCAGGTGTATTATTCAATGACAGCCTGTTGCCTCTAAGCACGAATACAAACAATATATAGCACACATTGTTATTGGAAATTTTACACCCTTTGCTCTGTTTATTGTTTGATCCATTTCCAGCTAGACAGAGCAAGGATCCATGTTTACAGTGGCCCTGGATGAGAGATCCCTAAGGTAGCCTTGATTGGAGAAGTTAGAAGACCTGTTTTGATCTATATTGGCTGCTCCTATGATAAGCCTCACTACCTAACAGCTCCCGTCCTCCCCTCTCCCCACATCACTGACCTAAACTTGTCCAATGAATAAAGCGGACCTTGCATGTTCATGTAGTGCTTTGTAGTGCTACTCTGAGCATGGACAAAATCTTTGCTACATATGTGTAGGTGCAAGGTGGTGCAGCGGCATTAAACACACTGTACCCGGTTGCAAATAACAAGACTTGTATTGAAGAAACGGCCCAAATATACCAACAGCTCAGGAGGAAGGCACCAAGCTGGGAAGCACTCACAGTTCTGTGCAACTTGTAGACTGGAGCAGGTTCTGATGCACCAACAGCGTCTGTCTCCGACGGCGGAATGTGACATGGCCAGTTTGAGCTCTGTAGTGAGGATTCTGATACTGGATGGCCTGTCCCTAGCCTGCCCTACTCATGTGGAACCTTTCCCCACCACTATTCACTTTCCCAGACAGACAGGTGCTCTGATGCACTATCCACTTGCAAAGTGCCAGCAACTGCAGTGAACAGGGCTCTTTGTAAGCTCTGCCCTTACTAAAGATGGCCAACAGAGTCACATTGGACAGCAACATCCAACCTGATCATTTCCCAGTGACCCAGGAAACCATAGAGGAATAAGTTACTCCTGGCTTCCTCTCCCTCTGCAATGTCACTGCAGTTTGACTGCCACCTGCAGTGGAGAAAAGAGACTGCATCTGCCGACATGCAGATCCATTTCCCTGTTTAAGATGTCTAGTAGTCACCTTAAGCTGGCCAAACGTATTGCTATTAGTTTGTACAGTCCACTTACTCTGCATGGGAGTGGCATTCAGTGGTGCAGGCAGCAGGAGAGGTATGTATTCTTCTAGATCTTTGTAGGTATAAAAGTTTACTTGAAGTGTCAGAGTTGCTTTAATCCATCTGCTAGAACTTATTATTATACAGGATTTATATAGCGCCAACAGATTGCTCAGCGCTTTACAAAATGAAGGTAGACATTACAGTTACAATACAAGTTGGTACAAGAGGAAACAGAGGGCCCTGCTCGTTAGAGCTTACAATCTAGGAGGAAGGGTTGAGTGATACAAAAGGTAATAGCTGTGGGGGGGGATGAGCTGATGGAGGAAATATATGGCGGTTTACTAGGTAGAAGCAGGATAGGCTTCTTTAAAGAGAGAGTTTCAGGGATCGCCTAAAGGTGGATAGATTAGGAGACAGCCAGACAGATGAGGGTAGGGAGTTCCATAGGTTGGGAAAAGCTTGGGAGAAGTAAATTCTTTTTCTTTTAAGTATGGAGGAGAAGGAGTTGGTGCAACACAGGATACTTTGCACCTGTTTCCAGACTAATAGTTGAAATTAACAGAAATTTGCAAATCTTGGGAAATTTTTGGAGGAGGCAGTATAGCAAAGGACTAGAAACTGACATGAAAGCTTTTCTTAAAGAAGATCTATGGTTACAGTATACACTTTCAGCTATAACTAACAATAGTTATACTTGACAATGCAAGCTTACTAGAAAAATCTCCTTTTATATCATAAGTTCTGCCTGTCTGCTGGCCATCTCTTCCACAACTTCCTGGATTCCCTGCATGCTCTGCAGCTTCCCCTTTGCTGTTTACATTAAATTTCTGTGGACTACATATCCCAAGGTACCTTGCTGCCAGCAAGCAGTGATTCCTGTACTGACTCCGCTTCCTGATACTCCTTCTCTCAGCACCTCTGTGGTTCAGAAGGCAGGCTCTGTGAAACGTGTGACACAGCAGTGCCTAGTCACAGAGAATAGTGAATATGTGGCATAGAATTCAATAAAGTAATTGTGTGGAGATCTTCACAAAGTAAGTTTACAACTTTGAGATAGTTCAGAGTAATAGAGGTAGGCTAGAAATGATTGAGCAATGTGGAAATGAATATATGAGTTTTACATTTTGATCATAGTTATGCTTTAAAGTTCTGTTTCTCCCTTATTAATGTATAAGGGATAGAAACTGCAAAAAAAATGTCGGCAATCTGCTTTTATTACAACATCAATAACAACTACAAGAGCTTCTGGATGTGAGAGGTACACAGTCATCCATCTGCTAATGAAAAGCACCAAGACATTTACATGCTATATTGTATGTTTTTTCATGATCTTTTGTAGAAATATCACATTGTCGGTTTGTGAGGTTCAATTCTACAAAAATACACAGAAAAATTATGTGAAAAAATACTGATTTTCTTCTGCTGCTATTTATGTTTGTAAATAGAACATGATAAAATTACCAGAACCTGTAATAATTATTATCGCTAAAATACCATGCATCTTTTTTTTTTTTCTTAAATCGGATCTTTTTTATTTGTTTCTGAACATTTAGGTTTTTTTTAACAAACACACAACTTGTGCGCAATACACTACAAACAAAGCAAGGACACTGGTAAAACAGCAGTCAGTAAATAGCACACATACAAGAAAAAAAAATGTTTAATTTTGTATACACCATATGAACATATATCCTACAACAATAAAACTATAAACCAGCACAAGTTGAACCAAGTCTGTTCTAATAACATGCATCTTAGAAGAATGACTCTATAAAAGATTAACCTCGTCACATATCTATTCATTTTGCTGTCAGGGCGAGTGCGGCTGTTTCTGTGTGATGCCTATGCGACTCGGTGTGATGCAATTTTCAGCCCATTCATTTTAATGTACCAAAAGTAGAGCATGCACTTCTTTTCAGAAATGCACTGCACCATATTGCATGCTACCCCAGTACCATGTGATCCAGTGCAGGCTTATGTACTATGTTTTCAATCTTCATTGGCATTATGTTGACACCTGCAGCAGCTTGCACAATCAGCGTGGTACGGGAAATGCGCATGGAACCGCATTCTGGTGTGGACGAACCTTTATACAAATATTCATGGTTCAATGACAATTAGTCACAACTCAGTTTTTTTTTTTTTTATCTTGTTTGATATGACTAATACCTTGCTCCATTCCAATCTACAGTTTTTCCCATAGCATAGATGCTGTTCAGACCTTCTATGGCAGGGGTGTCAAACTCCATTTCATCGCAGGCCGTATCAGCATTATGGTTGCCCTCAAAGGGCTGGTTGTATCTGTAAGACTAGATGTACAGAGCACCCCACTCCCCATTACATCTGATGTCAATAATCCCACACCCTCCGGGCAGAGCTGAAAAGCAGAAAGTGCAGGGTTTGGAGGAGGACCAGAGGAGGAGTGGAGTCAATTACCAAAGTCTGCTGAATACTAAGACCAAGGGAGGCACAGATGAGGGGGTGCTACAGCTACACGGAGAGTTGCAGGATTTGGCAGAGGAGTTCTATTCTCCTCTCTGCTGCCGACTGCTGAGACAAGGTGGGGGCAGAGACAAGGGGGTACCTGCGGGAGAGATGCAAGGGCCACATGAAATGGCACGGAGGGCCAGATTCGGCCCGCGGGCCTTGTGTTTGATATCTGTGCTCTATGGGGTAAACCAACTTGCTGATCTTGTGTGAGATGTTACATGTTATGATCTCATCTAGTACACAAGAAATTTAAACAATTGCAGTTATATTTTTACATTGTACATTATTTTGGTATCCAGTTGCCTTTTCTATAGACTGCAATGTGGGATATTTCAGATCTCTGAGGCATGAAATGGCAGAAAAAAAGAAATGCCGGAGCATACATCACGCGGTTTTTAGCCAGTCAAGTGATACCTGGTGAGATGCGTGCGTGCCACATCTAATGACTTGTTTGTTCTTGTAGGTGGCCCTCGTCTTTCCAAATAATGATCCTGCTGCGTTTATGGTAGCGTTTTATGGCTGTCTATTAGCTGAAGTTGTTCCTGTTCCCATTGAAGTGCCACTTACAAGGAAGGTGAGCTGCTTGCACAGAACTGTTTTCTCAGTTATTATTATGCATGTGGTAAACCTCCACTAAAGTTCGTACTTTTTCATCTTCTATCAACAGGTACTTTGCATTTTGACTTGCTGTCATATTTATACTATTGCATCTGTAATGTACTTTCTCTTTCTACAATGGAATTATTTCAGTGGTAGTCACAACTACTGTAAATTTGTTTTTAACTGTGAAAAACTGTATGTGTTTATCTGATATGAGGGCTATGCACATGACAGATTTTCAACTATTTTAAAACAGCTTTCTTTTTTCAAAAACAAACAACTGGATCAAAGCAGACATACTACACATAATTTATATACTTGCAGCAAGATGGTAATAAGTTGGCTTGAACCATTTAAATATTTTTGAAAGTTGGTCAAAAGCGGTTTAAATTATTAAGTGTTCTTGCATGGCAAGACCACTTACTTTTATCTCACATATATATTCTTATTATTATAGCCAAATTTACCACCCTAACTCCTCCCACAGTTTTTACACTACATAGACAGTAATATACCAAAACGTGCGGATTGTTCCCGATTGGTGTGCTATTACTTTGTGGAACGTTGTGCCGAATGGTTCACGAAATATCTGCGTTTTTGTGGTGAAATTGGTCCCATAGGAATGAATGGCGGAATGTTCAAAACTAGAGTGGGAGCTGACAAAAGCTAGAGTGTGAGCTGAAAAATCAGGACATGATTTCTAAACTGCCATCACTCCCTCATTTTCAAGCCCACCTACACAAATCTTATATCAAAACGTTCAGCTATCCCTGCTGCCACTAAAAATGTTCACAGCTAAGCCATAGTCCTGATAGTTTTCACAATATGACCATTTGTTTGCAACTCATGCTGCCCATTGACATTCATTGAAACTCCACTCTAGCCACCTCAAATTTGAAGGGCAATTTCTAAACTGCGACTGTGCCTTCATTTTTAATATTTCAGAGACAGACTATGCATCAAAATGTAGGTCTGGGTCTTGTGATTCTCACAATATAAAGGTGGAGGCAAGAACGCGTCACACAATTTCCCCAGAAATTGTAGCTTTTCTAGTTGAGTATATTCTCTAACTTGGAAAAAATATCCATAGGTGATTGGATACTTCCTTAGATTAACATTCCTTAGATCAACATTTTAGTAGACAGTTAGAATTTTTTTTTTTAAATCACAAAACATAACACCTGTACACTCCCTATTGACCAGCGCAAGTTTTAAATTTCTTCTGTGGGCCTGTGTATTTGCCAGTTACTTTGACCTTGCTTAAAATGGAACTTTACCCAAAACAACTTGATAAAAAATAATGTTGTTTAGCAAGGAACATACTGTACATTCCACATAATAATTATGCTATGCATATATTTATTTGTAAAACATTTTGAAAACCATTTATCATTTTCCTTCCACTTCACAATTATGTGCTACTTTGTGTTAGTCTATCACATAAAATCCCAATAAAATACATTTACGTTTTTGGTTGTAACATGACAAATTTCAAGGGGTACGAATACTTTTTCAAGACACTGTAAAGCTTTAGGATGTCAGCAGATTGGCCTCTAGATTTTCGGTACAGTGCTCAAAAATAAAGAGCAATTGAGCATGTGCGAAGCAGGGCGAGACAGTGTATTACTGGATTTTAAACAGTATAGGCAATTATCGCTAATGTTTTATATAGCTATACCTGCAAAAGGGGCTGGCATGAAATGATCTAGCAGGATTTTATTTTCTGGCTAAAGTTCCACTTTAAAGCATAATTTAACTCATCACTTTAACTGTTTCCCAAATTCAAGAAATGTCATGAATTATAACTGTCATTTTTGCTTATGCTCTCAATCAAGCTGTCAGGTAATCAAATTGCTGGTGTCATTAGTGATTACTTGTGCAGCACCAAGGCAACTGCAGATCATACAAATGCTATAAGGGCAGCTTCCTTGGCTGTAAAGGATAAGGCCCCTTTCATACAGCTGGGTTGGTGCGGCCGCCTGCATCCAGACTTGGATATCTGTCCCTATCCACAGCTAACTGCTGTATGTGCGGCTATATGCAAAAAGCAGAGGTCACTGTTAGCCTGCCCTTAGTTTAAATGGGCTGAGCGGCCGCTGCTGATCGCATAACTTAATCATTACAGCAGCAAGAATCTGCAGATTCTTGCCACAGGATTCCAGCTGCTGCACCATTCAGGCTGTGTGAAGGAGACCAAGGGGGTTTATTTCCACTTTAAGATGACAAAGTAGTACATGTCATTTTTGGGGGACACATGCGGCTTTCTTTCGGTGATATTGACTTGCAAAAGAGATTTTAGTTTGAAGCAATCAATAAACAAAATCATACCTAAAATGAATATAATTTACTTTTAGTACTTTGATAAGTGTTAAAAAAAACCAAAAAAAACAACAACAGTGTTACTAAAGACTAAAGGCATAGGTTTTATTCTATGATATGTCCTGTAGATAATGGCACTAAAAGTATTATTCTGGTAAAAAGCATGTCAAAGATTGTACTTAAAACAACTTAAAGTGCCTAATTTCTGTTAATTTGACATTTGTTCCATTATCCATACTTTTAGAATCAGTTTCAGACAGTTTTTATATATAATAGTTGTATGAACATGACTGTTTATTAAAACGAATCATAGTCATGGTAGCTGTTTAGATGTTTGCTTTCATTGTATGAACTGTGCTGGTAAATGGCAAGCCCCGCTCACCTTTTCGCACAATATACCATGGGTTTGCTTTCACAAATATTAATTAGCTTGTATTCCACAAACACTTTCTTAATTGGACAATGTGTAATTGGAGGTGTAAAGATATGTCTGGCAGCTTCCATAAAACAAATATTTACCACTTTTAATATTTAGGTAATTACATCAATTAATTTTAGCATTATTATTTTAAGTGGCATTAAACCCAAAAGTAAACATTTAACTTATTGCAGCTTACCAAATCCTAGATTTGATGGCTGCATTAGTTTTCTTATGTAAGCTTTCTTCTCATTTCATCTGGTGATTCAGTTAGCCAGTCTGTTGTTTTCCTAAAGAACAAGTTCTTTTGCAGTTACAGGGATGTGACAAACCATTTAATGCTGCCAGGGGTGCTTACAATGATCAGCTTTATTTATGTAAAACCTTTATCCTTAAAGGAAAAAAAGTTTACTGTAACTGCTGATAAAGTATTAGGTGGGCTTTGGCTTCAGGTTGTTAGTGTTAGTGTATTTAAATCTGCTAGTACATCTAACACTCTCCTCCCCCCACACTGTCAATGCTGCTGTCCAAAGGTTCCCCTGTGCTCTTTCATCCAGAGTGTAGGCACTTTAATAAAGGAGGTGTGTTACTGGCCAGATCACCAGGTGAACACAAATGAAAAAAGCCTACAAAAAGTAAATGATTACAGCCCCATGTTTAATGATTGGTAAGCTGCAATATATTACATTTTTGGTTTTAATACCGCTTTATTATATAACTATTTCTTTAAAATTTAAACTGGTTATAAACACACAGATAAAAAAGGATATTCATTCCCAAAGCAAACATTTAAGCAGGGTTCAGGGGATTTCCTTGAGCTGAATATGTCTTTTGTTTCCTTCTTTTTAGGAAAAGACTTTAGCATTCTAGTGTATGTCAGGATCAAATTAAGCGAAAAACATGTTCCGTACATTTTTGCAATGCATGCAGATTTCCCTATGGTTTATCCCTTTTAAAAATGCTGAACGTAAGAGAAATACCTGCTGATATGCCAGAAATCCAGTAATCTCCTAACGTCTGACAACACAGATCCTTTGCTGCATTGAAATCCCAACCTGGTGTGTTAGCCATGGCTGCAGGACTACAGAACCTAACCTATTCCCCACACCTCTCTATACATTTCCACATAACATGCTTTTATTTTCTTGCAAAACAGTGCCTTGACTCCCAAGAGCCTAATCACACAATGGGATCGATTTACTAAAATTGGAGAGTGCAAAATCTGGTGCGGCTTTGCTTACAAATCAATCAGCTTCTAACTTCAGCTTATTCAATTAAGCTTTGACAAAAAAACAAACAAACCTGGAAGCTGATTGGTTTCTATGCAAAGCTGCACCAGATTTTGCACTCTCCAATTTTAGTAAATCAACCCCACTATGTGAAGGATTTTGGGAGATGTAGTTCTGGGTGCGTGCCTATGCCAATCAGAAATGTTCGTACAAACATTTTGCCATGCCTAGTGATGTTAAAGGGACCAATAAAAGCTTCTTGCTACAAAAATTAGGTTAAGGAATAGATGCAAAGATGAATGAGCAGATGCCTCCAATATTAGCAAACCTCCGAATGTGGACTTTAGAGCGTGCTAATGCCATCATAGCTTGCATACTCAATGTAGCCTAAATGAGTGTGTAGGGGCTGTACCCATCATATTGCACGTTCTTGATATGGCATACACAGAAGTGACCCACCTCTTAGTCTATTATGGAGTGGGTGATATGACAGCTGCATTACACTGAGCTGCCTATACCCACAATCTCACTAGAGGTGTGCAGAAGTGTTATGCATCAGAGAAACGTCATATACATTGCTCTGCATGTCTGCTTGTAGTGTTGTAACAAGAATTTCTTTGTACCTTACTCAAAATAACAAAAGTAGAACTGTCAGTCTCAAAAAAGACAAACATACAGTATACAATAAAATGTTTGTGAAAAAAGTCCTCATTCAAAGTAGTAAGTGCCGTAATAATGAATTGAAGTGTGATCCGTCTAGGACCCAAAAAGGATTCAGTGATGGACCCGTGGACGCCTTTACCCAAAGTGACAGATGAAATGCTTGCTTACCAACTGCATATGACCCCCCTTTTTATTGGGTGGTCATAGCATGTTTGTTTGGGCGTTATGAGTTGACCCCAAATTTCCACTGTGGACATTCCTCAATGGATCCAGGATTGTTGACTACCATGGCCATTTCTGAGTGTTAACACTCAATTGCTCATAAAAATGAAACACATAAACACCTCTCCATAGTTTAAAAAGCTTAGAAACATGTATTTGGTAAAAAGTCATAAACTCACAAATCTTTAGAGAATGATGCACATGTCAATGAATAAAAAGTAGGTATAAAAACTCCTATTCCAGTATCAGAATGAGGCTCGAGTGTCCACAGTGAAGTTTTTGAGTCCACTCATAATGCCCAAAAAACATGTCATGACCACCCCAAAAAAAGGTAGTCATACGGAGTTGGTAAGCGAGCTTTTCATCTGACACTTTGGGGTGAAGGTGTCTACAGGTCCATCACTGAACTCTTTTAGGATCCTAGACGGATCACACTTTAGTCCAGTATCATGGCACTTATTACCTTGGATGTGGACTTTTTTCATAAACTTTTTATTGGATTCACTGTTTGTGGAGTTGCTCCCCTTTCTTTCTCCTTTACAGAAAATTATTTAATTTTCTTTGTTCAAATTTATTTTTTGCACATATTAGTATATACACACATTTTATTTTATGTTTATTTTGACCAGAATATATGGGAAGTATTAGTATTTCATATGAGTATTATTTTGAGTATGTACAGTATCTCACAGAAGTGAGTACACCCCTCATATTTTTGTAAATATTTTATTATATCTTTTCATGTGACAACACTGAAGAAATGACACTTTTCTACAATGTAAAGTAGTGAGTGTACAGCTTGTATAACAGTGTAAATTTGCTGTCCTCTCAAAATAATTCAACACAGCCATTAATGTCTAAACCGCTGGCAACAAAAGTGAGTACACCCCTAAGTGAAAATGTCCAAATTGGGCCCAATTAGCCATTAGCCAGTGTCATGTGATTAGTGTTACAAGGTTTCAGGTGTGAATGGGGAGCAGGTGTGTTAAATTTAGCGCTCTCGCTCTCTCATACTGGTCACTGGAAGTTCAACATGGCACCTCATGGCAAAGAACTCTCTGAGGATCTGAAAAAATGAATTGTTGCTCTACATAAAGATGGCCTAGGTTATAAGAAGAATGCCAAGACCCTGAAACTGAGCTGCAGCTGTGTATTAAAGTTGCAGGCTTGTACCATGAACTGTCACAACATCTCTGAAACTGTGGATATAAGATTTCATATGTCTGTTTTATAGACTGCTTTAAAATGGGCTTCAAATAACATGTCATAAACGACATGAACCCATAGCACTATGAAGGCCCTTCTCTTTGCATGAACACTCTACCCCTTTTTCCATAGTAAGTGCAAGAACCAGCACTGGCACCACCTACATTATTGTCCAGTTATAAGGGCTAGTCTCATTATTACAAAGTCAGCTCATACATATGACCCATTGGAGCTTATATCTTATAAATACCAGGACGGTTGTACTTGGTCAGCTTTCATTTACTTATTAGAAATCAAATCTATTCAGTTGAAAATTAAATAAAGACTGACTGCTGCAGGCTATGTGTTTGCTTTCGTATTCACAAAATTGTTTTTATGCCTAAAAGTTAAAATTCAAAGTAACCTTGGGAAAAAGCATAAAATAATCTGAGATGGAAATGTATCTATTTTTATGGCACATATTCATGAAGTCATTGTACATAACGTAGCAGGGCAATCAGCTTTGCATCAAATCTTTCCAGCTCAGTTTGACTCCGTGGGGTTGACAGGAGCCTTAGTCGTCACACAGACATGTAGCCTGCAGCTGAGAAGATGACGAGCTATGAGATTACTAAAATCTGCATCTCACAGCAGAGACACACGTTCACATTGATTTATCACTTCTACATCATATATTTCTATACATTTCTACATCATAGCAGTGTGGGCAAGTTTAAAAAGACAAAAAATTAAGGTTTACAACATCTTAAGGCTCCATGCACACTAGCATTTTGTTAAGCTACTAGAAGCTGTTATCAGCATTTTTCCTGCTCCTAGAAGCAAATAGTATTATCCTATGTGTCCATGCACTCTATTTTAGTGTTTTTCAAGCTTCAGCGTTTAGGAGTAGAAACAGAATTGTTTTTGTGAAGTTTTTGGGAGTGTGTTTCCAGCAGAAAAAAAAGCTGAATGCTCCTAAACGTGCCTAAATGCTCCGAACAGCTTCTTTTTAGCTTTTTTTTTCCCCTGCATGTACTGTAAAAACGCTTCTAAATGCTACTAAAAACTGCTAACACAAGCGGTTTTTATGCAGCAGTTTTCCAGCATTTTTTTTTTAGCTTAAAAAAATGCTAGTGTGCATAGATCTTAAAGCTGGACACCAGGTGAAGGCTAAATACACAGAGGAAATGCACACAAGGGAGCTGTTTTCCTTGTCATAGTATTTGTATTTCTGTCTCTCCATTCCTGAGATTTACACAACGCTGCCAGACAGCAGAACTAGACAGGATGGTTCTACTTTCTTTCTTACAGTTACAGACTATAAAGGGAATAAAAGGGGTTTCCCCCCGCTGCTCCCCCTGCTCTCTCGGCTCCTCTCAGCATATTCCTTGTTAGCAAATTTGCAAGCAGCATACCCTGTTGGTTCCCTTCCCTCTTCTAGTCTCAGTTCCGGTGTATAGAAGATTGCAAGAAAATGGTACAGAGTCAAATTCAGTTGCATTAATAAAAAGCATAATAAATACAAAAATCATCACATTCTTCACAACAATACAAAACATAATAAAATCCATTTAAAACTACAATGTATAACCCATGGCTTCTTATGTTATTATCATGTATCGGTTACATAGTGTAGCTCTCAACATATTTTGCCGCAATAGGCTTCTTCAGGAAAAAACGCCACAACCTGGATACAAACTGTAAAAAATGTATATAAGAATCAGAAATAGTATGAACAATATACATTTCATGAAAATTACACCTGTGGGCTTCAATAAATACAGCTTACCAGGGAAATTCTTAAAGTGATTCTATAGAATCGATTTGTGTTGTTTTAAATAACACACATTATACTTACCTGCTCTGTGCAGTGGGTTTGCACAGAGCTGCCCTGATTCATTAGTTCACTGGCTGTGATTGACAGCAGTGGGAGCCAATGGCTCCCGCTGCTGTGTCTCAGCCAATGAGGAGAGAAACCCTGGACAGCCAAGGCTCCCGTGCACAAAGCTAGATCAAAAGGGGGCTCAGGTGAGTATTAGGGGGGCTATCGGGGGAGCAGCACACAGAAGGTTTATTTACCTTCATGCATAGAATGCATGAAGATAAAAACCTTTGGCCTTTACAACCACTTTAAGATATCAAATTTACAAGCCTACATACTAGGTCACTTAAAGTGTTACTAAACCCACAACCATAAAATCAGTTTGTATATGCAGTAAAGCATGCTTGTTATACTCACTGTGGAACCTAAGGGGTTAATCCTCTGCAATGTGTAAAAATGCTGTTTGATCTTGACTTCTCTGATCCTCCCCTTCTTTCAGTGTCCCCCTCTTATCTCCTGATAAGACATATCGTGTGGAGTCACTCTGCACAAGCTCAGTTTGGTATGTATTGCTAGAGAGGTTTTTTTTTTTTTTTTTTTTGGGAAAGTGTATATGATCAGCACAGGGCCAATCAGCACTGTCCTGACAGAGGTCATGGGTCCTGCAGCTTCCTGGAGCAGAATGAAAACTCCCTTTACAAGCTTTAACATGTGCTCTGATGGACACTGATAGTCACAAGACTGCTATATACTGCTGATGATAAAAGGTGTTTAGCAATTTATATTTGCCAAAATAATTGCACTTCCATGTTCTGTGTACTGTGGGAGGCCAGATATATTGAATGCAGGGTCCTGGGTTTAGCAACACTTTAAAGGCACCATTAAAGTTGACAATAGAGTGAGGATGCTCAGATGGAGGCCCAATAGCAGGTTATTTGGTGGCTACAGGGGGCACAAGGGGACCTGGCTGTAAAGCATATACATAATCACTTAAATGTTATCACTTCTAAAAATCCACAAAACTTGCACCAATATTAAATAATAAAAAAATTAAATCAGGGTACAGTAAAATAGTAAGTGGTGTACAGTATGTCTCCCTTTGTTTTAATCACCAAAAGAGCCGAAGTTAGTAATGTGTGCTCTCCTCAAATGAGGAGGTGGGGGGGATGGTGCCAGACAATTGCAGAGACCCCCCGCTCTAACACAAAGCACAGTGGACATGCTCTTCAGTGAACTACGATGTAGGGACCTTTCTGCTTGAGGGGTGGTTTAAAAAATGAGCGACACTTAAAACACTATTTATTTTACTGTACCCTGATTTTATTTTTAGTATACATATCTCTCTTGTTTATTCACTGTTGTGTTCTGCTAAGGAGATTTTTTCATTCCTTTCCTAAAGACACAACAGGAATTAAGGAGAAATCTTCTCTAGGCTGTCAATACAACAGCTATCCCTATCAGGAAGTTTTGCTCTTTGTTCCTGCTTCATTGTCACTGACCAAGACAGACCGAGAGGGTGAATCTCCCCAGCAGGGTCATACATAACAGTGAAAACTTGGCAGGAGTGCATACTTCCCATCTAAAAGGAATACAAAGTTTTGGCTTTAAATACATAAACTTTTAATTATTAGTTATATTTACTTACCACTAAAGGCTGCAAGTGATTGGTTTTGTTTACATTTTTATGTTTTGCTATTATGTTTTGTTTTTTTTTTTCCCTTTATATCTTGACCGTGGACAATGTTGTATGTTTTGGTGTGATAATATATAATATTTTAAACTTTCTTATTCAGGATGCTGGAAGCCAGCAGATTGGCTTCTTGTTAGGAAGCTGTGGAGTTACGGTGGCCTTGACTAGTGATGCCTGCCATAAAGGATTGCCCAAGAGTCCTACTGGGGAAATACCACAATTTAAAGGTGAGTAACTTTAGTAATGACCAGGTGATTCATGGGGTTCTTATGAGCCATATAGCTACCTTATAGCGAGGTCAAGAAGGTGTTGTGCACTACTTTTTATCTCTGTGCCTCATTATAAACACCTCATTATAAACACCAGTATTAATACATGTTGCCTGGATGGCAAGTACAGCATCTTTTTGCATGTGCACATTTGTGTTCTACCTTGTACCAATATACGATATTTCACTCAGTGCCTGCTGTTTTTTTGCAACAAACACAAAATGATTTACAGTTTGCTAAAATGTTAAGGTATTATTGATTTATTAAAAAAAAGAAGTACTTCTTGTACACATTCTACGTGCTCTTTGTGATAAAACCCACCACCAATCAAGGAACTATTCAGTAGGATATAGGTGTTGGTCTTTTTGTCTGTCTGCCCAACCTTCAGAGCTCCATCCTTCTCGTAATATGCTCTTTTCTTACCATCATTATCTGTCATGTACCTTTTTTTCTAGTTTTTTTTCTTTGTCTGTCTCCCCATCTATAGTTTTATCTGTATGACCCTTTTTTCCCGGTTTGTCCATCCATGTTCATTATCTACCACCAATTGAGAAACTCTAAATGTATAACCAACACTCTTTTTATTACTCTACTCATCCATTTATTCCTTCTTCCTTCTCATCTACGTATTTATCTTATTTTCTCTCTCTCTCTCTCTCTCTCTCTCTCTCTCTCTCTCTCTCTCTCTTTTCTCTCTCTTCCTCACTCTTTTACCCTCTCTCTCTTTTTTTTTATATCTCTCTCTTTATTATCTCTCTCTCCTTCGTTCCCTTCTCCCCTGCTAAAGCCAATCAGTGGGGAAAAAAAAGTTTATATCGGTGGCCAGTGGGAAGAATGCTCCCCTTACAGTGGTGGTCAGAATGCCACCCTTACAGACACCTTTAAGTTAAAAAGATCATTGGTGTCATACTACTGGCTCTGCCAAGTGGCGTTGGCCCCAGAACTATGCAGGCAACATCAAATTGAAGATCAGTCAGCCACAGCTCAAACAAACCCTTATCAACTACTGGTGGAACCCTAAGGTTCCACAGAACCCTGGACAAGAATACACGATGTGCTCAATTGTTTGTAGACTCCTAAGCATCACAACTAATCAAGTTCAATGGCCATCCCATTCCCAAACCATTGGCATTTATATGGAGCTCTGCCCTCTATGTGACTATAACAAACTTCACTCATTTGGGAAGGGTTTCCATAACAATTTATAATGCATATGTGAAAAATTTGTGAGCATTCAAGCGAAAGAGAATTTTTGAGGTGAGGCATTTTATTTTGCCTCACAATTGGTATTTCAAATAATTCCAAAGGTGTTCAGTAGGGTTGATTTCAGGGCTCCCTACAGGCCACATGCGTATCTCAGTCATGCCGGAACTGAAAGAGGCCTTCCCCAAACTGTTGCCACCTGGATGGAAGTGCTCAGTTATCTAAAATGTCTTTGTATGCTGTATAATTAACAAGGTCCTGGAAACAACGAAAATCCATATTTTCTAGTGGTATCCACACCATTTTGGTCATATAGTGTAGTGCACATCTATCTATCCCGTTTGTCTATCTATGTACATATATTGGCCTATACACCTCCTTTCCTCTTGTGTATCTCTCCATCCATGTTTCTTTCTAGCCATCCTTAAGTCATATATTCTCCTGTCTTTCCATCTATCAGGCCATCCAAGTAGCTGTTTATTTTTCTCTGGCTTTCAGTCCTGTGTGATTTGAACATTGATATAATTTTAAATGCACATTGTTAAAGGCTGTAAGTTTTGGTTTGGAAGTGACCTAAAATATTTTGCTAGTACAATGAAGCATTTTTGAATGATGTAAGTCCTAAAAAACGATGTTGAAGATTTAACCTTAGTGATCGCTGACAAGAATATGTTTACAGCCAAATAGAGCAAAATAATGAACAGAATAAAAATAAAAAGACTGTACATTTCTTTGTTAGGTTGGCCAAAGCTGCTCTGGTTTGTCACAGAATCGAAACATCTGTCCAAACCCCCTCGTGATTGGTTTCCACATATCAAAGATGCAAATAATGATACTGCCTACATAGAGGTGGGTACAGTTTACTTTTTCTAGTATTTAAAAAAAAAAAAAACACAAACAGAAATAGCTATATCTACCCAATGCCAGTCCCTTTCTTTTTAGTTTTGGATAAAGTAGAGATGGTTTAGAACCCCTTTCAGGTTTTATTGCTATCTTTGTTCTGCTACAGAGATTTACACTGTATTGGTCCTCGTGACCACTGTCACTGCAATTAAAAGTGATGATAAGCCAAAATTTTGAGTCACTGAAACTTTACAATTGCTCTCAATTTTTGCTGTGTCTTTGGTGCAGAAAGAGAATCTAAATCTCCCCAATGGGACACAGGTGGCAAAAAAAAATTGAGAGGAGTATACACTTTATTCTTTAAGGATTACTAAAACTTGTGCATACATCAGATGAATAATCACTTTTGGTTGTTTTATTGATCTCTGTTGCAAATTCTAACTCTAGCTTCTTCAATCCTTCCTTATCTGTCCCAGGAATTTGGCTTCTTTGGTTTCCAGTATAAGCCATAGGCAGACAGTAGGTTCACATTTTAATCGTAGGAGAACCTTTTTTTTGTATTGGAAACAAAGACATTGCAGTGACTGATGACCACAAGCCATCTCGCTATATCCTCACTGGTGATGTGATGTCGGTCCATGCTGGGAGGGTACTCTGCTCTTAGCTGTAGTCATGGGGATTTCATTTAGATAACTGAATTTCAGCCATAGCTTTATGTTTGTATGATATACTACCACAACCTATAAAATATATCTTCTCTTTTAGTACAAAACTTGTAAAGATGGTAGCGTTCTGGGAGTAACGGTGACAAGAATTGCACTTCTCACACATTGCCAAGCACTTACACAAGCTTGTGGATACACCGAAGGTAAGATGTCACTTCTCAGCATGTAAATAATGAAGTCCAAGTCCAGCCAAATGTTTATATTAGGTTAGCATAAGGAAGGTTTAAAAATTCTGTCATTTTTTTCTTTAAATTCTTTATTTTTGCAGTTCAAACAAGAACAGACAAGCATGTATACACATTGGTACATAGTATAAAAGTAATTCCACATCATAAACATTTAGTTGAAAGTGATACATAGACCAAACTGGATATACCTTACAGACAATGACATTGGTGGGCATCAAAAGTTGTAGTGTAAAGCATAAAGGAAAATCCATAGGGTCCCCAATGTGGATTGTTTGCTTCCACTTAATTCTCCAAATTATGTCTACGTGCTAATTAAAGAAAATGCAGCATGAGCTAGTTTAGTGTGTAAAGGTTTTATTATATAAGGTAAGGGTCTGGGGAAAATGGGATGATAGACGAACAAAGAATGCCAAAGAAAAAGGGAAAAAACAGCAGGGGGAAGTGTAGAATTGGCAGACAGGGTTCCTGAGTGGTGGGCAAGGGTCAGAAGCTGGACCCACGGTGGGTGAGGAGCCTTAGTTCACTTCTCCCACTTAAAACACAAAATTGTCACATAATGGCTCAGAAAAAAATTAATAGTCACAAGTTAAGATTGCTGTGCTGCAGGGTTTGAGGGCTGCTTAGTAGGGCCAATGTATGTGTATTGTATCCAATAAAACCATGTTTGCCGTATTGATTTGGATTAACTGCTACAGTTAGATTTTCCATGTACTGGATGTCATTTACCTTAGCAAACCAATGGGCCAAGGTAGGAAAGGAAGCTTTTTTCCAGGTACAAGGAATGCAGGATTCGGCTGCATTAAAGTGAACCAGTAAGGATTTTTTTATACCTTGATTTTGGAATAAGTGCAAGATATAATAGATGTGCTGCAGGGACAAATCTTTTACATTTACATTTGATGTCCAAGGTCAATATCCATGAGCTTACAGATTTTTTTCAATTAGCTTGCAATGATCGGACAATCCCAAACAATGTGCAGAAGGGTTCCTCTGACTATGCCACATCTCCGTCAGCTATCTGCAGTGACTGAGGAAATACGGGAATGAACCAAGGGCGTTCTGTACCAGCTTGTAATAAGTTTATTATTCTTTTTTTTGTTATCTTTTGGTAATAGAAGCTTGTTGCGAGCCTATTTGTGAGCAGATCTTTTCAAAAGAGGTGAGAAATCTGCATGAAAGTTGCAGGTTACAGTAGAGAGTGAAAAAAATGGTAAGCTGATTATGTATCTACATACAGAGATCTGTCAATCCTGATTCAATGCTTGGGGGTTCAGGCATCCTCCGACTGGCAGAATAAATAAAATGACAAGTCCTAAAATGGTTCTGTCTTATGCACAGTATAAAATCATATCTGTGTGAATCGGGGTAACTGACAATGGGTGACCATGCGGTTCTCCCAAGAGAAGGCAAGAAACATCCAAAACATAATGACAATTAATGGATGATTGCGAAGAGCTGCCAAAGCGGACTCTCCAGGGTGCAACAGACTGGGGGAAAGATGCAGTTTTCTGTTCAATGCATACCAATGCATACCACAGATTTTGGTGTTGTGGTGTCAATGATCTGAGTTAAGTGAGTACTTAATGGTAGAGGAGTGAGTCATAAAAACTGATGCTCCCTCTAGACTTAGGGAGGTGTAAAAAATTTTTTCTAATACATGGAGAGTCTCCAGCCCACATAAATTTGATGCCCACCACACTGAGCAATTGATAAAGTGCTGTGGCAACAAGACTGATAGTGTTTATAGAAAAAATAGCAAACTGGACACCGCATTCATCTTCAAGGCACTGTACCTACTGAACCATGCGAGACAGTGCTTTTGCCATGGTTCAAAGTTTTTCCTAAGAGTGCGTAGAAAATGGAAGAAATTCACTTCTGTGATGAAAAAGAAAATGTTGGAGATCAATTTGTCCATGTATGAAATTGCACAATGTGCCCACTTTAAGGGGAAATGAGATTTCAGTTGGTTAACTAGTTCTGTTGCAGATACATTCAGTGCCTCTGATATATATACATTTATTTTTTAATTGGAAAGAGTGGAAATTATGGTGTTCTTGTAAGAGTATGGGAAGCAAGACTAGGAGTTAGGTGATACAAAATAGGTCATCACTTTATACTGCCACTTTTATAAATATGGTTGCCAAGGGTCATACCATTGATATTCAGTACTAATGATAAGATCTTATGTGCTGCCACACAAACGACCAAGCAACTAGATTAAATTAAAAAGCAGCTAGCATCAAAAAGAGAGGAGTATAGTACTTTAATCACTTTAGGATCTTGAGAGAAAGACCAGTGGGTTGGAGAAAAGGTCCAGAAACTCCCAGTCCACACCCTCAAAGACCTTCTCCATGTCCATAGAAAGGAGGAGCAACAGGCTCTCTCACCAGGGTGTGCAATTAAGTCTAGTGTTCTGACTGTATTATCCCTAGTCGCTGTTATTCAGCAAAAATTTTGAGGTCACAGTAGAGTAGGTAAATTGGCCTGCAATTGCAAAAGCTGTGGCTGGCGAAGGCGGGCCATAGGAGTGTGCCTCCTCCCTTCTTTGCAGAAGACTCTGGAAAACATTGCCAACCCCAGCAGCAACACCTCCTCCTCTTCAGCCATGATGCAAGAAGTGAGGCAGAAGTGGTCATTGGTGTGAATAAATACTCACAATTGAGCATGCATGTACACCATTGCTAATTAAACTATAAATTGTAAGCATATGGTAATTATTCATTTTCTGTGTTTGGAGCTCATCAGCATTCCCAGGTGTTACTTCCTGTCTTCATGTTCCTGTTCAGTATTTTGGTACGGCAAGCTTACAATGTTGTTACCTAACAGATGTCTCTCAACGTTATATTCCAACAAACTATCGCTTTAACCACATCTCTCTTACCTTTAACAAAAATGTCCTCTTCCCTACTTAATGTGCCCATCCTGTCTCTTGTGTGTGTTCACGTTTGCTCATTTTCAGCTGCTGTAGTGTGCCTTTAGCTCAAGCAAATGACTGTTGTTATATCTCGTTTTCCTTGCCTGATTTTGTCTTCCTTCCTCCGCCCGTTACTTTTCCTCTCTGGTGTTCCTGCGTTTGATTTTGGTAAGGGTCACCTGCCTCCAGCTGCTGTGTATTTACTTTTGGCCAAGAAACTGACCTTTTGTTCTTATGTCTCTGTGTGCATGCAAATGTCCTTTTGCAAATGGGATGATGCAATTCCGGTCCTGGAGCTCCTCCTGAGACTGTTTGTGTGTGATAACTAATTTTTAATGCGAGATCTCGGCTCCCACACATGCAAATAGATTTTCTTTTGTGTGCAATACATTTATTATGAAAACTATTTGACTTTATTTACAAGTTGAGTGCTGGTCCTCAGATTTCGACTGGTGAATTAAAAAAACGAAGGCCCAGGTTGCCATGTTAACCGTTTCCCGCCTGGCAAAAACCTTCACCATTCCGGGTGGACGCCATATGGCGTCCTTTCGGGCATGCGCAGTTTGCGCGCCTGCAGAGCCGCGCAGCGGCGTGATCTGTCACCGGCCGTGTACCTTGGACACGGCCGATGACAGATCTGAGTACCGGCCCCGTTGCCGGTTTCATGTGACCTGCTGTGACCAATCACAGCAGGTCACATGACAGTTGTATACAATGGATGGCTTCATTCATGCCATTCATTGTATACTAGTGTTTCTAGCTGTGAATGGTCACAGCGATCACATGCACAAGTACAACAGTATAACAGAAACAAAGAAAAACACAGGTTTTTTTTCAAAATTTTCGGTCTTTTTTTGTTAATTTAGCAAATAATAAAAACCCCAGTGTTGATTAAATACAACCAAAGGAAAGCTCTAGTTGTGTGAAGAAAATGATAAAATTTTAGTTTGGGTACAATGTTGTATGACCGCGCAATTGCCATTCAAAGTGTGAGAGCGCTGAAACCTGAAAAATGGCCTGGGCAGGAAGGTGTAAAAGTGCCCAGTATGGAAGCGGTTAAATACTCTACCTATACACCAGCTGAATTCAATGATCTATGAAAGTCTGCTTTGGAGCTGTTAAAGATTTTTTTTATTTTTATTTAATGTCTTGCATGTCTGCAGAATAAGATGTTTATTTTGTAGACGATTATATCTTTATTTGTATGGGTGTTAACAATGCATTCCACTTGAGAAAAAAACATTTATTGATCCAACAAATACAGAAATAGTTCAACATTCTACATTTATTTTGACAGCAGCAACACAATTAGGTACATTAATTTACTTGTGTAAAGTGAATCAACGGTATTTGTGGTGCCACATTTTACATAGTGCTTTACAATAGGGTTAGAAGGGCCTGCTCATAAAAACTCACAATCTAAAAAGGGATCACAACTTAACTTTCACAGTGTACAGCTGGATACAAAATAAGGCTATTAACCAGGCAACACATTTTAAGGTACAACAAATCTCACCACCTAACACACCCCATCAATGTGTTAGGTGCAAGATTCTCGAAAAACAAAACCGCCTTTAAAAAAAAATTAAAAATGCAGCACTGCAACATAGCACCAACACCCATTCCCCTTCCCCATTTCCCACACACACATACATTTCTGATTATGGTAAGCAGGAAACTGCATTTCTGCATGGATGGTTAAGAAAACTATATCAAATTTAGGATTGTAAGAGTAGAACAATTGACATTTGTTAGTATCAACAAGGGTCAGCAGATGCTCACAAACCATACACGCATGGTCAGACTGGAAAAATGCACACAAAATTGAAGCCATGCCCGCAAAAACCCACTTTTGGGAGACAAATGCACATCAGTTACAGGAAACACACAAACATCAAAACAGCCTTAGTGGGGTGTTAGTAAAAAAAAAAATTATATATAAATAAAAATAAACCTCCAAGGGCTGATAGCAAATAATCTGGCCTCTTCTCAGTCAAAACAAACACCACTACTGCAGTCCTTTATACAGGTGAAACTTACA